TTCTTTAATTAATTAGGATTTTGTAATATTTTGGACTGTAATATTATTTTTTCGGGACTGTAATATTGGACTGTATATTTATTCGGACTCTCCGAGTGAGGGCGTAACTGTAATAAGTGTGCGTGAGTGTGATGCATGTCTTCCAATCCCACGTCTTTCTCCCTTTTATTTATCCGCTTATGATGTTAGATTAGGGCATGTTTAAATTAGCATACAGTATGACAGCATGTTTGCATCATTCATCTGTATTGCATGCACCGGGCTCGGCGCACGATACTAAATGCACATACTTTCAATTCCAAGTTGAATAACATGGATAGTTGTAGCATTTCATATACCATCTTAGAATAGCCGACCTGCTATAGTTTCATTTTTGCATGTGTTGCATTAGGCATTTCTGTATACTTAGGATTCATGCATGATTTCTAATGAGTTTCTATTTTGGCTTGGAGTACTCGGTAAGCTTTATGCTTTAGCATCCTTGCATGCGTGTGAGTGCTGCCATGAATAGCATGCTTACCATGAGGCTATGTGCTTATCTGATATAACTGCCTGAATGCCTGTGGGTGAAGGTTGGGTTATCTAAATTGGAGTGAAACATCAAAATGTTTCAAGTTTACTTGCGGGTAACAAACCATTTTCAAAAACAAACATGAGATGTCTTGTTCCAATTCGGGCGACCCGGTCTATACTTATATGTCGTGTGCATCACATAGTAACCTAGGCTAATAAACCGGTTTAAGAACTCACAATGTTTTCAAAATCTGATATCATGGTTAGTAGAGGCCGGTCTATGACCGGGCGAGCGGGGGTGCTCACGAAGTGACCTTCCCCAATCGTACCCAAGTTCCCGAGCCGAGGCAACTTTGGTGATGACGGACACGTGGCCTTTTGGCACCGAGTCAGGGTTTCCTAAATTTCCCAAAGTAAAATATTTAGGTGGTGACTCTGTATCTGGCAAAGCAGTCCATGTTTGGCACTTCTTTCAAAAAAAATCAGTTTTCCTAAAACGATTTGCCGGATTTGGACTCTTTGGTTCAGATTTAGAACCGTGACTACGAAAGTCGAGTCCGAGCTGTAGCGAGGTCCCCCGCGGGCTTGTTACACACCCGTATAGAAGTTTATATATACTTAGGAGTGTAAAAATGGTCTGCGGCTTGTGGGTGGCCTACCCTGTAGCTTGCTTTTCGTGCTCCTGTGAGGGGTTTAGTTTCCTTAGATACGATAGCCTTACAGTTCAGACTCTCGTGGTTATGAATCTGGTTTCACAAGTGCAATGTGAAATAGAAAGAACACAAATGAGTCCAAATCCGATAAACCTTAGAAAAATCTATTTAATCATCGAAAATGGAATGCGTTGCCAGATTTCAAAATTGCCACCTACATATTTTTGGAAAATTTAGGAAACCCATGACTCGTGCCAAAGGCTACTTGTCCGTCATCACCAAAGTGTCTCGGCTGAATTTAGGTATGATAGGGGAATGTCATGAATTGAGCACCCCACTCACCCGATCAAAGATTGGCCTTTACTAATCATGATGTGATTTTATGTACATTATATGTTCTTAATCTGATTAATAATGCTAATTTATTATGTGAAGCACATAAGTATAGACTAAGTCACTCACTTTGGAATGCTTTGAGTTCATGTTTGTTTGGAAAAGTATTTTGAATATGTACCACTTGAAAAAGTGAGCTCATATGAACATTAATCAAATCATCCCAACTTAAACAAAATAGCCTTCATCCGCCGACATTCAAGAGATATATCAAATTAGCACGTAGCCTCATGGTAATATGTTTGATATGGCGACACTAACATACATGCAATATGCTAAAGCAAAAATGCTCACCTAGTACTCAACCGAGGCAAGCCAAAATAGAATAAAGTAGTTAGAAAAATGAATGCTCTAATATGAAAGTAACTAATGCAACACATACAAAATGCAACTATTAGGTTCAGTTATTTAACATGGTATATGACTCAACTCAAAGCATGCGATAGCGCACGTACTTAAATAAGTAGGAAATGCCAATAAAGTTAGAATGATGACTCGAAGAATGCAAAAATAGATACAAGGCATGGTAATTATATGAAAATGTAAAACACGATGCTACTATTATAAGCATGTAAATAAAAGGGAGAAAGAAATGGAGGTTGGAAGACATACACAATATTACATGTTTGCTCTCAAACAAGAGGGTTCGAATTTCTGAATTTAAATTAATTATTACAAAAACAAATTAACTAATTGAACTAGCTATTTACAAAAAATAAATTTAACTAGCTGTTACAATTTCAAACGAATCCAATGAATTTAAGCATACTATTATCAAAGCATTAATTAAAGGACCATGGGAAATGAAGCATCGCACGGGCACAAATAAGAACTTCCTCCCGGAAACCTCTATGTTTTGCTGCCAGAATCAATTCTGTTTGCAGTCAGAAAATTAATTTGCTTTTGCCCCAACTTCTGCTCTGTTCTGTCATGAAAATGATACTGCTTGCACAAAATAGGGTGGCCGGCCAGCCTTGGAAAGTGGTCAACCGAATGGAAGGGTGGCCAGCTGGCTACTGTTTTTTGGTACTGCCCTGCTGCCACAGAAATGAAACAGAGCAAAAACAGAGGGTTTAGAGGAGATATTTGTCATTTCTGCCTCTCCCTATCATGGAACTGATCAAGTGAGGGGTATATTCGATTCGCAAATTATTAATATTTGCAAAGTTGTTACGTGATGATCTATGAACGTATAGGACAAAGACTCAATGAAAGGAAACAAAAGACCAACAAAACCTCCTCCCTATCATGGAGTTACCTCAAGAGAAGTGGTAGACATTAATTCTTGACTCATTAACATCATTAAAGAGTCTGTAATGATTCAAGACTCAATGGGTTCAATATAACGTCCGATTGAACCCAATCCAATTTTATTATCTTGTTACCATTTTTAGTCCAATTTTATTGCCTCTTTTACATTACCTTGCCATTCTTTATTCATTTTATCCTAAAGTGATAATTACGCCCACTAATGAAAGGAAGTGTCAAACAAGAAATTGTGTTTAACATGAGAGAGATGTAATGCCCTGGTTATGAACCTCCGAAGAGATTAAACCATTAAGCATGGAAGATCACTTTCTCATGCTTTGAACAACAATCAATCATTTGAAACAACTCTTAAACAAAGAAAATCAAGAAAGGGGAGAGGTTGCAGAGATGATTATGCAAAGATGGTTATTAAAGTGAGACTCTTTACATGAAAAATAAGGAATGAAAAGCTATCAATTCAAATGAATTGGTGTCTGTAGCCTAAACCCCTAAATACATGAGGACTTACAACAAGAAAAGCATGACATTCAAAGCATAAATTAAATAAACACATCAAATTAGTCCCAAAACTCACAAAATAGTGCTAAAAATTAGTATGAAAATCTAGAAAAAGTGAGCAAAAATAGGAGAGAATTAAAGCTAGTAAGCAAGTCAAAGGAAGGGTGGCTAATCCCTCCACTTTTTGGAACTTAAAATCACATGTTTTAGCCTCTGAAAACTCTGAAAATCAGTAGCCAAAAGTTGAGAAACAAGTAGGAAACACAAGGATATAAGTTTATGGAATAAAATTTAAGGAAGGGTGGTTAACCCCTCCACCTTTGGTAGCTTTTAATCACAAGTTTTAGCCCCCCTCCCCCCCTCCCCCCAAAAAAAAAAAGAGAAAAGGGTCCAAAAACAGTACAAAAACAGCAAGAAAAAGATGAGAGAAGAGTAGTTTAAACAAGGTCAGAGTTATACCTTTGAAGAGAAGACTCTTTGGTTCACAAACCACAAAGTATTCTCTCTCAAGATCTAAAATTTTGGCTCAATAACCTTAGCAAAAAACCTCAAATTTATAGGAAGTGTATGTATAGTGTATGTATATTACAAGATAGAGAGGGAGAGTGTTTTACAAGTTTTTAGCTCTTCGCAAATTTTTCCCGCTTAAAATCAAGAGGGGTGGTCATCTATTTATAGAAAAATAGGTTTCTCAGTTGGAAATATCTATATGGAGCCAACTGGTGCAAGGCATGCACATGGGGGGGACAACTGGTAGCAAATATCTGCCTGCTGGGAAACATGGTCAGCTGGCCAAGAAAGGGGACTGTCAGCTAATAAAATTGGCCAGCCGACCATCTATCAACCCGGAGGCCTCTGAGCAGTCAAGCTGAAGAGAAATAGGTTTTGGTTCAAAGGGGGTACAAGGTTTGGATTCTGAAGTTGGAAAACCGAAGCTTTTTGCTGAGGAAATTGAACAATTGTATAGCGTTGTAGACACTCCATTTTGACCGCCACTAAGACTTGGGCGCTTTCTTCCGACCACCCGATGATGAAAGTTGGAATATACTATTTTGCGACGTTCTCAGCAGAAAAAAAATCAGATTTATGCTTTAATCCCAACCTTCACCATTTTGGCCAAATTGTTTTAAACTACTAAATATTTCATTAGTTTAGTATTTTGTAATTTTGCATAATTTTATGTGGTTGTTCATATTGTTGGTGTTTTTATATAAATTGGTATAAATTATATATTTTAGATATTTTATATATTATATTATATATATTTTAAAACAAAATAATAAATAAAAAAAGGAAAAAAAGGAAAGTGCACGGCACAAACGCACCTAATTCAATCATGCATATATATATATATATATATATATTATAAATAAACAAAATGATCATAAAAAAAATAATAAAAGAAAAAAAAAAGACTTCCGGTGGGGAAATCTCACCCATTCAAATAAAAGAAAAGAAAGAAAGAAAAAATAGGAAGATAGAAGATGGTGGAGAAATCCACCCACCCATTCAAATAAAGAAATAAAAGAATGAAAAAGAAAAGGAAAAGAAAGAAGATAATGGAAGATGTCTCCATAATACACCATCTTTAACATCCATCTTCTTTTTTATTATTGTTTTACATTGGTCTATAAATGGGATTGATCCTCAGAAGATGAGGAGGGAAATAAAAAAAAAAAACGAGAGAGGAGAGAATTGTTTAAAAAAACAGAGAGAGTTTGTTTTGTCATTTTTATTTTCTTTCTTCAATGCCTTTCACGTACTATCTTCATTGTCATACTATCTTTTAAAGCTAAAATTAAAAATTTCTTACTGAGATTCCAAAGCATACACCATAACCGTGAGGGTGTAAAGAAGAAAGTTTGATAATCAGAAAATTCACCATTTCCTCCAAAGGTGAAATTTTACAATTTTCTCATTTATTTTCTTTCTATTTCTCTTATTTTAAATATGTGATACTTGTGTTGCTAAAAATAGTTGATTGATGAAATTTCTCTACTAATTAAATTATATTATATATTATTATATTGTAATATATATCTATATATATATATATTGATATAGTGGTGGGTGAAACCACCATTATATTTATCATAGAAGAAAATATGTGATACTTGTGTTGCTAAAAATGGTTGATTGATAAAATTTTCTACTAATTATATTATATTGTAATATATATATATATATATATTTTTTGGTACAATAGTGGGTGACACCACCATTTTATTTATCATAAAAGAAAAGAAAATAAAATGAAACATGAAAGTTGTCTGAAGCATCTGCTTGGGTGCTATTTCTTGCTGGTATTACAATCTAATTATTATCTGCGAAAAAGTATTTCACAAGGTTTGGCTTGGCTCAGTGGTTAACATGTTGGGTGTTGGGGCTTTGGTCAGGGGTTCAAACCTCCACGACAACATATTTGTCTTTTTATTTCATTTTGGTGTATATTATTATTTGTGGATGATGACGTCAGCATGATGCACCGTTAACATCAGCAAACAGATTATTTCTTGTTTCACAAAATATTCATTGGTGTTAACGGAATATTTCTTGAATTCTAAAAATTGCACTATGGCCCAAAATTTTCAAATAATTGTGGTGTGGCCTGACTTTCTGGGAGAATTTTTAGTAAGGCCCCTGGAAATGTGGCAAAGTTATTCCTAGCTAAAAGGAACATTTCAGACACAACTGTGAAGTTAGAATTGTGAAATTCTGAATAATTTTTAAAGATTGTCGGATTAAGCTTTAATTTTAGCCATAAACAAAATGAGATAATTTGTGAATATTTGTTAGAATTTTCAATTGATAATTTTTGTATATATTATATCATTTCTCTTGGAAAGGTTTTATTTGCTTTGTTTTGGTCTTCTTGTATGAAGAATAGGAATTCCCAAAAGATTTTCCACAGGAGAAAATAGAGCAGCAAACAAATTTTTGGTGGATGATCTCCAAGGCCTATTCAGTTTATATTTTTTCTGTTAATTTGAGTGTTTTGTGAGGTTTTTTATTTTTATTTTTTATTTTGTTGTAATTTTTTTCCTCTCTCTCACTCGGATTTGTAATATTTAAAATGTTGTAATAATTTTCAGCTCCACTTTTTTCTATCATGTTCTTTTACTCGCTTTCTTTATTTGTGAATATGCATCATATTTTGTTTTTTATTATATCCATGCTTTGCATCCATGTTTCATGCATCTTGATTCGGCTAAGTTTGCATTTGTGGGTTTAATCAATTCCTATGTAATTATGTGTGCTAGCTTATGTTTTTGAGATGATTCACATATCATATTTTAGAAGCCGAATCTTTAGTTGCATCTCATGAGTGAATTGCATTAGGATTTTTGTATATAAGATCATGCATGTTTTGCTGACTTTGTTTTGTAGCTATTCACGGGATGTTGATAAATATGTAAGTTGTTATGCTTTAGCATCCCACTGGTATATAATTTTTTCTTTTTATGTTTAGCATCCTACCATGTTACTACTTGCTTACTTGATATCACTATATGAATGCCAGTAGATAGGGGTTGTGTTGCTTAATTTGAAATGATGTTGATTTTTCATGTTTGTAACTTAATTTATTTGTGTTGTACATCTTCAAAACTTTTTTCAAAATACATGAAATCAAGTTATTCCAAAATGAATGGCGTAGTCTATAATTGTATGTTTCACATAGTAAATTTTAGAATTTATTAAATAATCAGAACATGAACATATAAAGAAAATAAAATTAATATCATGGTTTAGTAAAAGCCGATCTTTTGATCAGGTAAGTGGGAGTGCTCAATTAATGGCCTTCCCCCTTCATACCTAAGGTTTCAAGCCAAGCATCCTTGGTTACGATGAACAGTGACCTTGGCACGAGTCACGGGTTTCCTAATTTTTCCAAAATAAATATTAGATGGCGACTCTGAGATCTGATGACGCAGTCCATTTTTGACAAAACTGCAATAAAATGAATTTTTAATAAAAGTTGTCAAATCTGGACTCTCATCTATATTTTACATTGCACTCGTGAGACTAGATCAAAGAAATCAAGGGTTCGAACTATTTAAAGCGCACGGGTACCCCCCGGGCATGTTACAAGCGTACTAATTAATCATTGAGTGCTCACCACGAGATGCCCAAGTCTTAATGGCGGTCGAAAATAGGGTGTCTATACGCCCGTAGCTTGGGGTGGGCCCAGGCCTAACCAAGCCGGGCCTGAGTGTAACAACCCCAACCTCTAATTAACGTTAATCCGTACTTAATTATGTCTAATGGTAATTTAGGAAGGATTTGGGATTAATTTGCATGTGTATTGCATTATTTTTGTATTTCTATCTATTGGCGATAAAATGACCTATTCATGTCTTTGCCTTTAAATTGCGAATTGAAAGCCTTATCGGCGACCGATTAAAAAATTGATTAGTGTTTTATACTAGCAAGAATATATGTGATTTTATAGTAGGTTTAATTAAAATTTGATTTGGTATGATTAAATTAGATTAAATAACGTTAAATTACATTAGTTAAGTTTATTACCAAATTGCCATTGAGTGGCCCATTACCTAAGGCAACCTTGAGACTGATTCATACATTTGTTGCATCTTTTCATCATCCATTGAGAGACCAAACCGTGGAAGAGAGAGAGAGTAGGAGATAGGGAAAAACTTAGTTTCAACAAGATTTGGTTGGAAATTTGAGGAATTATAGAAGAATTGCACAATTGAGCCTCCATACTTGGAATTGAAGACCCAAGGTAGGAAAATCATCTTCTTGATTGTGAATTTAAATTATACCTTGCATAGTCCATGGTAAAATTGAAGATTAAAGTCAAGAATTGGTTTAAATGTTGAATTGAGAAGTAATTCATGCATGCATGTGCCCATTATTGAGTTTTGAAGATGTTTTCATGAATTCCCCACATGCATGTCCATATTTGGGTTATAGTCCATGAATTCACCATGTTTTGAGCTCAAATCTTACATTTGGTCATGTTTTAGAGCATTAGATTTCTAATGAACACTTGCATGTTAAGTTCTTGCATTATTCTTGAAACTTCTTTGGGTTTGGTGTTCAATTGTCTCACATTTGGGCTTGATTTTACAAATGATCTTCAAAACATATTATATTGTTGGTTTTCAAGTGTTTCCCAGAAAATTGGCCCAAAAGGTTGAGTTTTGGTGCGTTGAATTCTTGATTTGAGCTTTGAAGGCGAATTTGGAAATTCCAGATTTTGGCTTCCTCGCTCGAGCGAAGGATTCCACGCTCGAGCGACCACCTTTTGTTCAGAGCTCCACTCGAGCGAATGAGTGCTGGCTCGAGCGTAGATTGCAAGCTCTCAGGTTTTTGGTGCACGCAGACGCACACTCGAATGAAGAAACCTACGCTCGAGCGAAGAGACCTGCGCTCAAGCGAAGAGCTGTGTCTTACGCTCGAGCGAGCATCGAGCGGGGATTTTCAACAACCAGTACTTTTGCATTTCTACAGACCGCTCGAGCGACCCCTCTGTTTTGGTAACCTCGCTGGAGCGAAGAAAGCCACGCTCGAGCGAGACCCCTGTTTTCAGCAAGTTTTGAAAAATGTTTTCCAAGGCATTTTTGCATCCTCATTCTATCCTAGGCATTCCTAGGCCATGTTTAAGACTCCATAGTGAGGATTAAGGGTTAGAAACACATTAAGAGCCAACGAAGTAAATTATGTACGATTAGATTGTGTGTTTCAAGTGTGTGCCTGTTATGTGTTATGTAGGTCACATGCCGCGTACTGTTTGACTAATCTGCTCCGTCTGTCTGTCTCAAGGCCAACTGAGTAATAACTTAGTAAAGTTATGTTCAACTGTATATGTTTTATGTGTGATAAAATAAGATCTGTTTTTCGAAATGATATGTTTTGTACAATGAATGATTGTCTAATTTCTTATATGTATTCGTGACATCCTTAGCATCATGTGATATCTGTTGGCTATTACCCGGTATCAGAGGTTCCTTTATGGAACTTAATCTGTCTGCACTCTGTTACCCGTACCGGAGGCTCCCTTACCGGGGTTCAGCGTATCTGTTCTCTGTTACCCGAATCCAGAGGTTTCTTTATGGAACTGGTTATTCGTAACCCTCACGTGTCTGAATCTGTTCTGTATCTGCTCTGTTAATGCTAATGGATGTATCATGTAAATGTAAGCATGACTCTTGATTTTTGTATATGATCTGGGCAAACTATGAATTTGATACAAAACTGAATTATGATTTCTGAACCTGTACAGACTCATTCATTGCAACCCCTTTACTCTGTTATTGTTCACTGGGCCTTCACTCACAGTTTATATTATGTATGTAGGTGAGCCGGCATGTGACCAGGGCCAGAGTTGATGGCCTTCAGTTTTGTTTTTGTCAGCCAACCGTTGTGCCTCCCGAGGAGGTTCCGATCACAGTATAGTTGCATGGCTGTTTTTGTACTTATGCTAGTCTCTGTGACTGCTTGTAAAGTCAGGTCTTAGAAAGTACACTTCTGTAGATATTTGTAAATATTGGTGTCCTTTGACTGGCATACTTGTGTATATATATAAGTTTTGAAATCTTCTGTCCCATGTACGTTATCACAGCTCATTGGACCTTGTCTGTTCTATATAATTGCTTCCGCAGTCCCTTACTTTTTGCTAATCTGTTCAGAGGTCTTTGGTAATCCACAGATTACTGGCCGGTTACGAAGCCAAACCTATGGGGGCGGGTTTGGGTCGTGACCCTGAGCCCAGCTCAGGACCATGGACCTAGGCTTGGGCCGTCATTTTGAAGCTCAGCCTGACCTGTCAACCTGGCCCATCAGCCCGTTCAAGGCCTATTCAAAACTCTGCTCTCCTAAGGCCCAATGCCATTTTTAGTGAAAAGAAAAAATAGAAAAACAATAATGTTAAGACCCGCCCAGGCCTGGTCCAAGCTCGAGCCCAGACCTAGGTCCGCCGGTTTGGCCTAAAGCCTAGTCCACCGGCTCGCCTAATACCCGAATACCCATTCAGCCTGGGCTTGGGCCTAATTGTCTGGTCCATGGGTCGGCCTGGTTTTTGGCAGGAGCAGGGGCGGCCTAACATGGGCTGACCCGAGCCCGAGCCGGGCTCAATTTACATCCCTATATATACATACAATTTTGTAGAGAGAGAGAAAGGATGTGACAGAGAGAATGTCATCAAGTAGAAGAGGTCAACATTTTTACATGTAGAGAATGAAGAAAAAGCCACAAATAAGAGAGAGTGACGCATTGGCTCAGTTTGGTTTAGTTTTGGAATTATAATTTTGAAATGAGTTTTGAAAATAGAAAACATGTTTAGTTATGAGTTTTGAAAAGAATTTTGAATTATATTTTGAAATTGTTTTGGATTTTTTTTAAATATTTAAAAAATTTCTTAATTTTATTTTTTAGGGCAAATATTTTTTATTGTAAATATTTATTTATTTTTTAATGTGTGCACATGTATTTTTTTAAAATATTTAAATATTTTTTATTTTATTTTAAACATTTTTTATCTTTTAAATATTTAATTTTTTTCAAATTTTAAAAAAATTTGGATCGCTCATATATATGTAAATCATAACAAATTATTTGGCTAATACTTAAAAAAATAACAAAATATTTTTTCAAAAAAATAAAAAATAAAAAAATATTTTTCTTCAAAAAGAAAAATAATATTTTCTAAATAAATATTTTTTCAAAAAAATAAAAAATAAAAAATAATTTTAAAGAACAAAATAAAAATATTTTTTTTTTTGTTTTAAAATTAGAGTTTTAAAAAGAGTTTGATTATAAGTTTTGAATTGAGTGTTTGGTTATAAATTTTGAAAAGAATTTTGAATTTTTTTGATTGGAATTATAATTCCAAAATAAAACCAAACGCTACCATTATTTTTCTTCACTAATTAAGCCATAATGATTCATTTGAAATAACTTATAAGTTAATTTTTATAATTATAATTTTTTTAATTATTAACTTGAAAACTTAAAATAAATTATAAATATGCTTGGTACAATATTTAATAATCTGTGAAAAACGTTGAACATGTTTGATAGACAATCACATTTGTTTGGAGAAAGAAAAAAAAAATACTAGAA